TTCTTCTTCTTCTTCTTCTTCTTCTTCTTCTTCTTCTTCTTCCTTTTCTTCTTCTTCTTCTTCTCTGTAACCGTTATTCACCACAACCCAACTGGTCAGACAGATAAGCAGAGAAACAAACACGCCATCACGAAGCCATGCATGCATGATATGTCACAAGCATGCATAGAAAGACGGGTGAATAGGAAGACTGACCGACAAATATTTAAGGGCTATATACAGTAACAGAAACACAAGGCTTCATTTGGTCGCTTTTAAAGACAAGCGGGCTAACCCAGATTTCGGGGGTTTCCAGAAATCTTGACCTACACCAAAAGTGGGCATTGCCCTACCTATAGGAGAAGTTTAGTTTCATTGGTATGTATATTTGTTTGGTTATAGAGAAAACTATCCTAGTCTTTTAAAGAAACTGAACAAGGGGCAAAACTTATAACTTCGATTTTCTCAAAACAGCATTTTTCGGGATCATGCCGCCTTGAGCTTAAAAGCAACCATTCATAGTAACAGAACCCTTACGGACCTTACAAAGTAACAGAGATACTAGGTTCTGTTTATAGTAACAGAAGCACTGAGAGCTATATATAGTAACAAAGAGTCATATAGTAACAAAATCCTAAGTGGCTGCATACAGTAACACTAGGTTCTACTTATAGTAACAGAAACGCCAAAATAATAACAGAATTTCCTACGTGACGTTGGCGAATGACCTCCTGGCTGCCCCCCTCACCACCACCGGAACTCCCGAGTAGGCGTAGTTCCGCCGGAAGTCGTCCCGGCTGATGTTCTGCACTTCCGGTACGGAGTCCAGCTGTCGGCAGACGTCGCAAGGCATGGGCGGGCGGAACATTTCGTCCAGGAGATGGTTGGAGGAGAGGAGACAGTCTGACTCTCGCAGGAGATCCACAAAGTCTGGCAGGGAGGAGAACAACAGAACAACAGCGACCAGACACACACAACTCCAGAACACTTTCTTCCTGGACATCGTTTTTGTGCTCAGAGCTCGATGGACGCGCGTCTGCTGTTTCCGTAAGGCTGAGAAGTGACGTGGAAAGTAGGTCAACACCAACCGGTTGACGGGAGAGAGGAGGAACAGATCCTGTATGTCTTTGTCTGAGAGGTGGAGTTTTCTTCCTTTTCTTACGATACACCGCATTTGATGAACAATATCGTCCTCCCCTTCTTCTTCTAATTCATTCTCAACCACTTTCGACGAATCTGGTTCCGGTTCGTCTGTCGTTTGAGAATTCTGAACAGCGGCGTGTGTCTTTTTCCGATGCCGACTGGTCGTTCTCGAGTTTGAATCCGTCTCCGCCATGTTTGTGTGAAGAGTAGCTCTCCGTGAGCGCCTGCTAACTTTAGTCTTTATTATCCTGGAAGAAAAAGAAACAAGGTGAAAACAGTGTTATGTGAGGGTAGATGGATTGTACAGAAGGACGATATATATATTTATCACATGTTATATCTCTCTCTTTCTCTCTCTCTCTCTCTCTCTCTCTTTCTCTCTCTCTT